GATGTATTCACAAGCAAAGAGAATTAAATTCTAAAGGCAGTACCCAACGTAACTGACTCCATAGTACCAGTGGAACTGATAAACACAACAGGAAGAGGTCAGTCGAAGCAATTCATCTTTCAGTCGAGGTATCAACATTTGGCGTGTGGAAAACGAAATTCCTAATCTAACACCATTAAAAGTTCTCTGAATTAATCTGCATAGTTTTTGAACTAATATCTCGCTGAGCATATCACCTCTAAATTGTACCCGAATGTATAGTGGTTTTTCGCTAGCCACTGGAATATCTTTTCTTCCCATTTCCGATTAGTAAAAAACGGTAGTTTGAAACCATTTTGAAAAGTGTATAAGAGTATATATGATGTAATATATTAGATGAGAAATCTTCAATAGCCGAAGGTCTAAACAGCCCACCTGTCTAGTCATATTCTGCCACGTTCCACAATGTTATCTGAAGTAGGTTTAGACTGATAATCAATATATGACCAGAGGCAATATTCAAGCATATGTACTAGATATTCATCTTTCATTCTTATAAATTCTACAATAAAATAATTCAACTTTTCTATTCAAAACGTCTAATAAGTCACAAGAAAACAAACTATCACTCTTCAGAAAAGGTTGTTTACTACAGAATTCTAGCTATACTCATCTTATCAACAGGAAAAAAGATTCAGACAACATTTAAATGCCACACTATTAATAAAAATCTGTTCAGTAGTCAAAGAATGAAAAAACCCAATTGATAAAGCTCATTATACATTGATATTTTTATCTAGAGTATATCGTTTTCCTGGAATAGACAATTAAACATAAAAGTTCTCAAATTAAAATTGTCGAATCTTTAAATAGCTGTCATAATTATTACATTATTATTATTATTATTATTATTATTATTATTATTATTATTATTATTTCTCCCTTGGGTTCATAACGGAACATAGGCATTGACTAGCACATCCACATTCCACTCTCTTCTCTGCAATCTTTCAAACATGGCTACACCAATCACCACAACCTCTCATCTCTTCATATCACCATCTCATCCATATCACACTCACCTCGCCTCGCCTCACCTCGCCTCGCCTCCCCTCGGACACCCAACTCGTCGTCTCCCATCTGGCTTCCACTCGACTACCTGACCCACTGCGTCATGTCACCAGTCGATCTTCTCACTGCATGCACAATCCAATCCATCTCCACTTCCTCATTCTGCATATTTGTTGAGCGATAGCTTCTTGCTTCGTCGGTTCGTTGCCTGTCAGCCAGACAGCCAGCCAGCCAGAGTTCCTTCTTGCTTATTCTCTCTATTCTGACAATCCATGTGATCTTCAGTAAGAAGACAGAGTAGGCGGCACTTGTTCATGTCATGTATATCTGTAGTTTGTTGGAAATGCATTTCGTGATGCACCGACAACTCTCTCAACCATCACATACAAGCACTGACTCACTTGACTGAATTAGTGTTGGAAATCCGGATGTTGTTCACGTTTTATGCTGAGTGAGGTGCAGTGAAGTGCAGTGCAGTGTAGTGTAGTGTAGTGCAGTGCAGTGTAGTGCATTGCAGTGGAGAAGATCTCCATACTGGTTTCAGGTTAATGAACGCCTGTCTTGCTGGCTTTCTTAACCTGGTTGGATTTGACGTCATCGTGTGTGCCTGTGGCTGTGGCGCCTGTATTCGAAATGGTGCTGTCTAGGTAGTTGTAGTTGAAAGAGGCTACTTCCTTTAAGTTTCTCTCGTTGATGGTGATTGGGGATTGTTGTTGTTGTTGGTGATGGTGGTGGTGGTGTTGGTTGGATATCTTCATCACCTCTGTCTTCTCTACGTTCACTTGAGGTCCCGTCTTCACTGCCCTGCCCTACCTGTTCTATCAACTTGTTAATTTTCGCCTGAAATGTTTCGAATCATACTGCTCATTGTTATTTCATAGCTTGGTTTTGGAAGATGAAGGCTATGAAGCTGACTGACTCAGATTCGAACGTTTATAAGTTGAAGTGTTAAATGAAAATCAAATAACTTTAATAAAATGATTATGTTTCATCAAAAATCAAACTCCACAGCCCTTCTTCAAGTGGTAGTTGTTTGTTCTTATGGTATTAAACGTTAACCACTCTGAAAATACACATTTACTTGGCAGCGATGTCTTTATCTTCTCTGAATACCATTTTCGAAATAATTTTCCGACATCTGTGTTCCAACGTATTTAATAGTGGTAACAGTTTTTCCCCAAAGTATCCCTCAAAACTTCGTCTTCATTTATCCTTTTTTTAAATCCTCTGTAAATCCACGTCCCAGCTATAATTTCTGAACGATCTTCAATAATCCTAAAGGCAACTGCATTAAGTAATGTCAATGTTGGTAAAGAAGCTTGTCTTCCACGTATTCTGAACCACTACCGGTATCCAGCATGTTGCTATGTAAGCCTGATACAGTTTGGTTGATATTAATGGTCATTATTCAGTTCAAATCAACTTGCGAAATGAGTAATCTTGAGTGTTAATCCTGTTTAACTTCTTCATTTGCTGTAATAATTTTAATCTAGAGTGTGATATTAAGCCGATATGGCAAAATGCCGGATACCTGCAGTTTTTCTGAACTTCTATGTCAAAGGTCAAGATTTCTTCTGGAATCTCCACTTAACGTGATGTCTTTGATACTAAACTCACACCCATAGACCACTATTTATAACTGTTGGGATATGTTTTAGTGGGTGCTGCTGATAAGAATGGATATAAGTAGTATATGTTGAGAGGTCGGTCGAAGTGAGATGCAATTACCAGCAATCAGTAAATATTCTGCCCTGAAAAATGCAAGAGAACAGTGTAGGCATATGAAAAGCAAATCGAGGTAGGAGAAGAAGAGAAATTGAAATACACCGTACAAGTGACTATTTTAATGGAAAGTGTACAATATTTCATCACTCCACTGTACAAAATGTCATCATAAACATTCCTTCATGTATCTCAGCTTTTGTCATTTCTACAATCTCATCTTATTTTGGCCACCTTCCATTGATCTTTTTAGTAGCTTTAATGTATTCTACGACTTACAGGAGAATTTCCGTGCTTCAGATCAGAAATTCACTTCATGAATGTCAACTCAACGACTGGATTTTATCGTGAATATAGATTTGGATGTCTCGTAGATGTGAAAGCAAACGATAGCTCCAAGTAAAACCTGTTTTCGAATCACATAAAGAAATGATTTTTTCAGTCTGTATTTTTTTCATACTATTCCTCTTATAACATAGAAGACTGAAATTTTACAAATTACTTAAAAACAACTTTATACCCATTCATCATTAATTTGTCTTCTTTAATCAGCATTACTATTACTATTATTATTTGTCCCTTGGGTTCATAACGGAACATAGGCATTGACTAGCACATCCACATTCCACTCTCTTCTCTGCAATCTTTCAAACATGGCTACACCAATCACCACAACCTCTCATCTCTTCATATCACCATCTCATCCATATCACACTCACCTCGCCTCGCCTCACCTCACCTCAGACACCCAACTCGTCGTCTCCCATCTGGCTTCCACTCGACTACCTGACCCACTGCGTCATGTCCACAGTCAATCTTCTCACTGCATGTCCACTCCAATCCATCTCCACTTCCTCATTCTGCATATTTGTTGAGCGATAGCTTCTTGCTTCGTTGGTTCGTTGCCTGTCAGCCAGACAGCCAGCCAGCCAGAGTTCCTTCTTGCTTATTCTCTCTATTCTGACAATCCATCTGATCTTCAGTAACAAGCCAGTGTAGGTGGCAGTTGTTCATGTCATGTATGTCTGTAGTTTGTTGGAAATGCTTTTCGTGACACACCGACAACTCTCTCAACCATCACATACAAGCACTGACTCACTTGACTGAATTAGTGTTGGAAATCCGGATGTTGTTCACGTTTTATGCTGAGTGAGGTGCAGTGAAGTGCAGTGTAATGTAATGTATTGTAGTGTAGTGCAGTGCAGAAGATCTCCATACTGGTTTCAGGTTAATGAACGCCTGTCTTCCTATCTTTCCGATGCTAGTTGGATTTGACGTTGTCGTGTGTGCCTGTGTCTGTGTCTGTGGCTATGTCGCCTGTAGTTGAAATGGTGCTGTCTAGGTAGTTGTAGGTGAAATAGGCTACTTCCTTTAAGTTTCTCCCGTTGATAGTGATTGGAACTTGTTGTTGCTCTTGGTGACATTGGTTGCGTATCTTCATCACCTCTGTCTTGTCTACGTTCACTTGAAGTCCTGTCTTCGCTGCCCTGCCTCGCCTCCTCTGTCAACCAGTTAGTTATCGCCTGTAAATCTTCAAGTTTGTGCGAAAAGATATCAGATATAAATCATGATCGGCGAAATCCAAATCTTCTAGGTTCTTTTCCACGGTACAACCAGTGTATCCCCTCTTCTTGCTCCTCACTGTTTGCTGCATGATCCAGTTCACCACAATCAGGAATATCATGGCTGATAGTAGAAAGTCTTGTTTTACTCCTGTCTTCACTTCAAAAGCATCACTGAGCTTCCCATTGTGAATTACTTGGCATGTGGCGTCTTCATATAGTTGTTGAATGGGATTAATAAAGGTTTGTGGTATTCCGTAGTGTTGGAACAGTTGCCAAATTACTTGTCGGTCGACTCTGTCGAAGGCCTTTCCAAAGTGGATGAAGTTGAGGTAGAGATCTTGTTGACTGCCATTTTATACTCTGTTCTATGATGATGCGAAGCGTGATGTTGCAATTTGGTCCGCACATGACAATGCATCCTTTAGTCTCTCCAAGTTGATGCTACATACTATTTTGCTTGGTGTGGACATATACAGGAGCATGATTTCTCGCCAGTTGTTGTCAAGACTTAGGTCTGTCTTTTTTAGGAGTTGGACAAGACAGCCCACCTTCCTTCAAGACATTCTGTAATAATGATGTAAGCATGTCCAACGATGGTATAGCACAAGCAATTTTATCAAATTCTTATACTAGAAAAATGTATACATTTTTGCTATTGTACAACTTTGAAAATGAAATCACTGGAAACAGACTTTTCACTAAAATATACTTGTACTTCTTTCAAATACATAATCATAAAATTAAATTAAATTAACCGCTCTAATCTTAACAACAGTTTTGTACAATTCAATAAAATCATTTCTTAAAAATACTTATGATAATCAAGTAAATAAAGCATAAATCTATTCTGTACACAAAAATGGAATGAAATGAAATATATTTTACAAGGTTTAATTTAAATAAGGTCTCCAAACATTTTGTTCATTATGAAGATATTGAATATTTTCTTTCTCATCATTATTGATAACACTATATTGTCTTGAAATAAGATTATCATTGAATTGAGCGCATTTTTGTTCAAAATCCAATTGATTATTGATTTCATGTGTTTTAATATCATTAGGTGTATAATTATACTTATCAATTATATTATGATTGTCTATTTTTGACCAACGATATTTCAATGGTAAACGAAAAGGTTGACATTTATAGGATTTATTATATACAGAATTAAATTTTTCATTGTTTTCATTAAAAAATTGTTTTGTTTCCATTTTTATACAAGAATTTACAATTTCATTTATATTTTGACATGAAACAGGTGATAAATTTTTATTAACTTCTTGAATTGATGAAGAATATAATTCAGATTGAAAAGATTGATGTGAAACATTTTTTTGTCTAGATTTCTTTTCATGTTTATAAGAGTATTTTGATGATGTAATTGAACTATTCGACTGTAAACTGATTGAATCTGAATACTGACAAGTGTTCTTACTATCTTTTATCTCTAAACAACTTGATGCTAAATTGTGTAGACGATTTAATAGTTCTGAAAAAATGTAGAAGAAAACACTAAATACTGTAGACAATAAAGTACAAATGGTCAACATATATCACATACTACTAAGTTGAATTCAGTAGAAACAAAAACCATCTTCAAAATTCAAGTGTTACCAATAAACAAACACAAAATCTATTGATCGAAATCAGCAAAAATAATACAGAAGTAATATTCATTATGGACTTGACATCAGTTGGGGAACCACTGAAAGTCTGGGAGCATTGGACAGCTGTTTCGTCCAACCATTCGGTTTTCATTGGTTCACAATTTCCAACTTCTGTTAATTCACAACATAGCATGATTATCACCCAAGGTCTTCAGTTACCATCCACTTCACATCTGACTGGTTGACCCCACAGGTCATGGCTTCTCACTAGAGCTTCCTGATAGTCCCAACTGATATCAGTCCATGATGAATACTACTTCTAAATTAAAAAAAATCCCCATTCATCTCAGAAACAATATAGTTAGTAAATATCACTTCTCGGCTAAAGTGAAAAGGCAGAAACCAGAATATGAATCCTAAGTAAGGCTCGCTGGTACTTAGTTCTCTTTTCATTAATTTTTAAGCTTTATCCTTCATTTTCATACACAGTGCGGACATTCCATGTCCCCACGTTTACTTTCGCTTTCATCGAGGAAGAGAAGACATATCAGCCAATTGGCTTACCGAAGGCTTTCACCAACTGGCGTCATTTAGCCTCTCCGATTCCAGCCAGGAATAATTTTGTTTTTACTTCTTATATTTTGTTTGTGCATTGAAGTTTCTTTAGCGGTTGGACTTGTTTTCCGGGGTAGGGTTGCTAGCCCTACGCCCAACCTTCCCTGTTTACCCGGGCTTAGGACCGGCTAGTAACTAGTGAACTAGATAACCAGGCGGAAAAGAACCTGGAAGACCTGGATTTCGTCGACGACTTGTGTCTGATGTCACACAAACTTGCAGATCTATAGGCGAAAACTAACAAGTTGATAGAAGAGGCGAGGCAGAGCAGTGAAGACAGGACCTCAAGTGAACGTAGACAAGACAGAGGTGATGAAGATATCCAACCAACAACAACAAGTCCCAATCACCATCAACGAGAGAAACTTAAAGGAAGTAGCCTCTTTCACCTACAACTACCTAGACAGCACCATTTCAACTACAGGCGCCACAGCCACATGCACACACGATGACGTCAAATTCTACCAGGATAGGAAAGATAGCAAGACAGACGTTCATTAACCTGAAACCAGTGTGGAGATCTTCTCGACTGCAATGCACTACACTACACTGCACTGCACTTCACTGCACCTCACTCAGCATAAAACGTGAATAACATTCAGATTTTCACCACTAATTCAGTCAAGTGAGTCAGTGCTTGTATGTGATTTTTGAGAGAGTTGTCGGTGCATCACGAGAAGCATTTCCAACAAACTACAGATATACATGACATGAACAATTGCCGCCTACTCTGTCTTCTTACTGAAGATCACATGAATTGTCAGAATAGAGAGAATCAGCAAGAAGGAACTCTGGCTGGCTGGCTGGCTGGCTGGCTGGCTGGCTGGCTGGCTGGCTGGCTGGCTGGCTGGCTGGCTGGCTGGCTGGCTGGCTGGCTGGCTGGCTGGCTGGCTGGCTGGCTGGCTGGCTGGCTGGCTGGCTGGCTGGCTGGCTGGCTGGCTGGCTGGCTGGCTGGCTGGCTGGCTGGCTGGCTGGCTGGCTGGCTGGCTGGCTGGCTGGCTGGCTGGCTGGCTGGCTGGCTGGCTGGCTGGCTGGCTGGCTGGCTGGCTGGCTGGCTGGCTGGCTGGCTGGCTGGCTGGCTGGCTGGCTGGCTGGCTGGCTGGCTGGGTGACAGACAACGAACCAACGAAGCAAGAAGCTATCGCTCAACAAATATGCAGAATGAGGAAGTGGAGATGGATTGGATTGTGCATGCAGTGAGAAGATCGACTGTGGACATGACGCAGTAGGTCAGGTAGTCGAGTGGAAGCCAGATGGGAGACGACGAGTTGGGTGTCCGAGGGGAGGCGAGGCGAGGCGAGGTGAGTGTGATATGGATGAGATGGTGATAGGAAGAGATTAGAGGTTGTGGTGATTGGTGTAGCCATGTTGGAAAGATTGCAGAGAAGAGAGTGGAATGTGGACGTGCTAGTGAATCCCTATATTCCATTGGGAACCCAAGGGACAAATAATAATAAATAATCTTTCATTTTCACATTCTTATGTGCCAGCTATATACACTTGACACAAACTGCTCACTTCTCAATGTAGGAATTTTAACAGAAACTGGTCATAGAGGTGGAATTTTTCCGTCTACTCCGCCATATTTTATTTTCATATTTAATATTATGGGGATCTATGTAGATCCTGTCTTTTCGGGGATGACATCGCCCACTAAGAGGCAAATACATCCGGTTGATGAGTCCCGAATAGGATGAAACGTGTCTCCTTGATCCTACTGCTAGTCGCTATTCCTCATTAATATGCGTTATATGGTTGTTATTTCCCAAAGAATTTAGGAAAGATAAACACAAGATCATTTGGCGTCTAGCTTGGACTTTAGATTACCAAAATTTTCTATCGAACGTATACATACAATTCTCTCCTTTCAATTTGTTTTAGTAATGTAAAATGTTTTCAACTCGCAGTTTCTTGAGTCAATAATAACAAGAAGAAAAAATATCATATTAAATGGAAATTGACTGATGTTTAAGTGAGTAAAAATGCACCATATTTCTATTCCTCAGATAATTAGCTAGAATGGAAGATTCTCGTACTGGCTGAATGAACCACTACCAACATCAGCATCCAACACTGAACGCTAATCCAACACCAGCTGACTGTTTCCCAGTACTGCCTTCAATACTTTTATTATTAGTACCATTCAGACGTCGTACTTCTGTGACTGACTGTGTTGAAATAACACATGCTGAGAATTCCATACTGTATTGTAAATATTCTTCGGAAGAAAGCAAGTATTATTAATAATGTTGTTATCATTGTTAAGAGAAGCTTTCCAATATTGATAACTTATACTAGTTAAAAAGCCTGAAATTTACTATTCGATCCTAAGAGGGATACAGCTTTACATGTGTTAGAAACCATAAAAAGAGACGCCACAGTGAATCAGTCAGAGTATGCATAGTAAACCACCAATACCTTACGGTTTGTTCCAATACCCTGTCAGTCAATACTTATTTCAACACAATTTTAGATGATAAAAAGTTGGCATACCTGGCCTATCCTTCAGAATCCTGGCTATTCCTTCAAATATTGTATAACAGATTCCAAGGATGTCAGTCTTCTCCATTTTGGAATGTTTCACAGGCTACGAAAATAAATATAAATGATATGAATAAGTAAATGAATAAGTTGATTTTACAAAAAAAATTGCACAATATATTCAGGTAAGTTCTACTTGCGCTTCACACCTATAATATAACTAACACGTTTGGCTACTGATAACTGTAACAAGTAGTTTAATTGGGAAAAATAAAATCCACTCCACAATCACGTGTGCCAAATGCGATGAGCCACACATACACAATGACGGCTTCGGTACGTGAAACAGCTTCACCGAGGACTCAACGGTTGGTTCCCTAGATCATTGAGCAATAGCTTGCCTAATCAATAATTAAAAGAAGATAAATCAAATAACTCACTCCCTTAGCTAATAATAATAGTAATCTGCCTTACTTTCAACAACTAACCATAAGCGAGAAAAGACCTCTAGCCTGTAATTCATCTAAGGTCTGACATAAGTATTAAACTCATATGACTTGATTCAAGTGTCAGAATGGCTAAAAACTAAACAATTCATTGTAACTGGGTGATAACTGACAGTGAAATGAAAATTTGAGCTATAGCAATATTCGGACCAGCGACCTCCGGGTTCCCGACCCAGCAGTCACCCAGTACTGAAGCAAATCTGCCAAACCATGACTATCTCAAATAGTCAAACTGATAATTTATAGGAAGCCATAAGAACAAACACATCAACTGAATCCAGTGTTTAGGAAAAGTTTAATAAACAACTATAACATAGATTGTTTGAAACTTACAACCTCTCCAATTAACTTCATGGCCAAATTATGTAATGCATTCATTTTGTCTGAAATACATGCACGACGTTGCCGTTCTGTATGCTGCTTTTTTAACTGGTGAGAAGAAAAATAACAATAAATAAGAATTTATTTAAAGTATGTCTGATACTCATTGCTTAAAGTATAAATTGAAGAATATTGATGTTATGATACTTGTAATTTCCCTTAGCTATACGGGGCCGAAATGATCAGCCTCTTTGGCAAAGAAGCTTCTATACGGATGTTTTTACAAAAGGCATATCTCCATTAGTATTGCTAGTCGACAAGATGAATAAACCACCATGAATATCCTACACTATCGAGGCATCCACATACCAGCCTATCTACTGACAGACGTCTAGCTAGCACACCCCGTATACTAATGGGAAATTACAAGTATCAAACAACAATTTAACATCTACACTGGGTGATGACTGAAGTTAAAATAAAAATCTGGACCGTGGCTGGACTCGAACTAATGACCACCAAGTTTCCAGACCCGACACCCTACCCCTACCCAATGAACTACGAGGTCCAGCAGCAGTTCAAATTTCCACTTCACCTTCAATCATCACACTGTATAAATACTAGTCTGTCAAACTACGGCTATCTGAGCTAGTCGAGTATCAAACAATTATTTAATATTCACCTCACTAGAATACCAACTTATAACCTACCTATCCATCCACTTAAACTTATTCTCACTAAATGTTCAATATGACATTCAAGCCTAAATAGTCATTGTTATTATAAGTGGTGACTGTTTGTCTGTTATTCAGCTGTTGATTGATACACAAGTTAATTTCCCAGTGCCACCAAAAATGATAAAATATCTCCTCGTGGCCACTGTGAGTAGGAAATATCTGTCATTACAAAATAAATCAGGAATCACCTCTATTCACTTCATGGTGGATCAATCATAATTTCATCCTTTCCCTTTACAAACAAAGAAGCACTGATCAACTTAAATATGGTAACAGATTTTGAAATGATTTTGAGTCATTACTGAACTCCGTCGGTTATGTGGGCACGTATATCGAAGGGAAAGGGTAACATTGAAAAAGAAACGATTAATTATTATACTAAGCCTATATTCTTAAGGTAATATTCATCATGGATTGACATCATTTGGATAACCATTGAAGGCCTGGAAACACTGAGTAGCTGTTTCATCCCAGTACAATGCTACTCAAAAGTAGACACCTAAAACCACACCCCACCCCACTCCACCAGATATCGAAATCAGAACCTTCAGGTTTCACGGTGAATGCATTGACCATTCAACCAATGGGTTGGAATTCAACGGTTCACAGATTCCTACATCTGTCAATTCACAACACAGCATCACCATCATCCACGGTCTTCAGTTGGCATCCACTTCACTCCCAACTGTTTCACCCCACAGATCATGGCTCCTCATTAGAACTTCGAGATATCCATCTCGAAACATATCACTAATAAGCACAATAAAGTATACAGTATATTTTCAGTTAAATGGAGATTATATTCAAAACCCACATTAACTTCAAAATATAAGCATACAACGATACTTGTAATTCCCCCTTGCTATATAAGGCCGAATCGCTGGGCCTCAGTTGGTAGATGGGCTCCTATGCGAATGCCTCGATACTGCTGAGTATTCATGATGTTATATATTGATCTTGGTGAGTAGCAGAGGAACCCGTTATGCGTGTTTCATCCTATGTGGAACTCACTAGTCAACTGGATGTACCTGTACCCAGTGAGTTATGTTATTCCCACTGAGGTCCGAACCAGAGTACCAGAGTTTTATCTACTAAGCCACTGGGGTGTAGGTACTTACATCTGATAAGTCCAAAATAAGATGAAACGCGTGTCCTGGTTTCCTCTGCTAGTCACTGATATCAATATAACATGAAGATTACTGATTTTTCATTCATATAGGAACCAAAACAGCATGTTTGATCTAACTCAGATAACTACTGTCGAGTAAAATTTATTAAGTTTCAAGAAGATGAAGAAATGCTACCATCAATTACGTCATTCAGGGATGAGATATTACAGAATAATAAAGTGGAATTAGTGATATATTATGAAGTTCACTGACAATATATCAAAACAATCGTTTATGTATTACATTAGCTGAATAAATAATTTGAAACTATGTTGGATTAATTTTCCTTACAGACAGGTGTAACTACGATGACATAGCACTGGGTGACATGAATCCTAACACCTCATAGGGGACATCAGTTCCTTCAGGGGTTACAGACTGACGACTACCAACAACCACGAATCCTAGGTATAGCACGGCTACCTGGTGACTGGTCGCAAATAAGTAACATTCACAGACAGAAGATTGTTTACTTGAGGCTAAACTTTGCAAAGTAGTCACATTAAAATTACGTTTCACTTAAGTATAATGACTTAGATGCTTGATTCAAATTGGGTATCTTTTTAAAGATTATGACGCAACGATACCAGAGTTATGTCCTCTGTTTATCAAGCTTACAATTCATATCTTAAATATATACAAATGAAATCATAAAAAATGGCTGTATTGGTGAGTAATAAATGTCTATTTATAAAAATATAATTTTAGCTAGTTGATATGCTTTATGGTTAAATAACTTACTCGACGAACTTGATCACGTATTTCTAGTGGAACTGTTGAACGTCGACCTCGACGACTGGATGATGTATTCACAGAAGACTTTGTGGAAGCAGTAACATTTTGAACTGGTACTTTTATATCATATGACTGAACACTCCTATCCGGAGTGATTAACCTCTCATGTAATGAGTTTTTTGTTGACATGTAATTTGAAACTTCAAAGTGAATTGGTATCATACTGATGAAATAAATCTAATCGAGATTATCTTTTTTTCCTCACACCTATTTATATGGCATCATAGATATTTTTAACCAATGATAGAACAAAAGCCACACGACGCATGCAGTCTTATTAGCCAATCAACATTTAACTGGTTTTGAGCCATATGCGTACACATGTGATTCAGTCGACATTTGTCCACTTTTCGTGCATTAGACCTTAGGTCACCACCATTCCTTGTGGTGAGAGATTAAATTCTCAGATATTTTGTTGAAAAGAATATATCATATAAATTTCCTATTCATATACGCTAAAAAATAAAAGTCAATTATTATCGAAAAACACGTCTTAACTTGTGTTATTTTTTGAAGAGAAAAAAAATGTAGCCAATAATCAAATAGTAATCTTGTCAGTGTTTATACTAGAGTACAGGATATAAATATGTTAAAATTGATTAGAGTAAAAAGTTGAACCAGTGGAAAAGATTAAATTTAAGTACTCCCGAAAATGATACTGACGTTTCACAATAGACAAAGGTTAACAAATGAAATTAACCGTATATTATTGATAGGAGTACCGTATTCTTGAATGGTATAAGTAGATAAATAACAATCATATATGAGTTGACAAGTTTCACTAAGTAAATCTTAATATTTGACTCCTCAGCAATAAGCACCCACGACCGGCCGGGGGTCGAACTCAGCACCTTCAGGTTTCACGGTGAACCCGTTAACCATTCGGTTTTCAGTGGTTCACAATTTCCAACTTCTGTTAATTCACAACATAGCACGATTATCACCCAACGTCTTCAGTTACCATCCACTTCACATCTGACTGGTTGACCCCACAGGTCATGGCTTCTCACTAGAGCTTCCTGATAGTCCCAACTGATATCAGTCCATGATGAATACTACTTCTAAATTTAAAAAATCCCCATTCATCTCATAAATCTTAATAGTTAATTTCTTTCATGCTAAACTCATCAATAATACTTACCATTACACAATATTACTACCGAAATTGCATGTTTTCCAGTTAGGTTTCCAAATTAGGAAATGAAATTTTAGTTGCACAATTCAATATAAATACCACCTACAATAAAAATACAGTCAGGTATACACAGAGTCCATCTGAAAGTAACTTATAAAATTGTACTGTTCAAAATGAGAGTACAAAAGTTGGAAGTAGTAAGAATTTTAGTTGTAATGTATTAGATGGATGGAAGTGATCGGCAGGAAGTTATGATTTCGTACTTGTTGGCACGCATCAGGAAAGCGTATCTGTAGCCTTGATGGAACTAACATCCCCTGTAGGATTTGAACTCGCATTACCTGGTGTTATTGCCAACAATGTTACCACTGAGATACTTGGAACACGATTTACCTCCTATATGATTGACATGGATACATTGATTGGTCACTGAAGGGTAACCAACTTAATATTGTCTAGTTGTGACAGCTAACCGAATTTTATCTATCATTTTGCAATGTAACCCCCCCCCCCCCCAACTGTAACAATGATTACATTTGGAACAATTATGAAACTGTATCAAATCACTGAAAAGTTAGACTGGAAAAACATATGATACCTTTTGAAATAATGGAGAATATATGTAGCTCAAGTGGATGGTCTTGGTTGTATTGTTTTCTCTGAGCTGGGTTGTTTAATCATGAAGTTTTCATCGCCTTGCTAGACGATATCATCAGCACTAACTTCAGTATGAAGCGAGCTGTCAATATCTCTCCGTCAGTGATTTACTGGCTTGCTCTGACCATATGGTCTGTGGTTGGTTGTTTCCTTCGAGTGTTGTGTCATTGATTGTATAGACTTCCCTGTTGGCTGTTCCTCTGCTTCACCTCTAACCTTTCTGTCGTTTGTCATTTTTTTCTTAATGGTTGACACATTCGGTCTATGTCTATATATCTGTTGATTGTTGACTGAATGACCTGAATGCTAAGCGTCTAGGAATTCTCTGACATTCTTCGTGTTTCCTCTGTCTAAAATTTCTACATTATCCAAACTGAATTCATGTCCATGGTTGTTGTCCACATGTATTGAAATGAGTGACGAAATGTCGTGATGTTTAATAGCCAATTGGTGTCCATGTAGACGAAGGCGAAGAGGGTGACCACTTTGTTCAATGTAATGTTGACCACAGTCACTGCAGTTGACTTTGTAAATGATATTCTGTTTGTCTTCTTTGCTTGTTGCATCCTTTGGTCTGCATAATAGTGTTTGGAGGGAATTTGTTGGTTTATGAGCCACACCAATTCCAAGTGGTCTCAGTAATCTTGTCCTGATTTCTGATATATTCTTTATGCATGGTAGGACGATGCGTTTGTTGATTTCTGTCGATGACTTTGTACTTGATGATGCATGAGATGCAACAAGCAAAGAAGACAAACAGAATATCATTTACAAAGTCAACTGCAGTGACTGTGGTCAACATTACATTGAACAAAGTGGTCACCCTCTTCGCCTTCGTCTACATGGACACCAATTGGCTATTAAACATCACGACATTTCGTCACTCATTTCAATACATGTGGACAACAACCATGGACATGAATTCAGTTTGGATAATGTAGAAATTTTAGACAGAGGAAACACGAAGAATGTCAGAGAATTCCTAGACGCTTAGCATTCAGGTCATTCAGTCAACAATCAACAGATATATAGACATAGACCGAATGTGTCAACCATTAAGAAAAAAATGACAAACGACAGGAAGATCAGAGGTGAAGCAGAGGAACAGTCAACAGGGAAGTCTATTCAATCAATGACACAACACTCGAAGGAAACAACCAACCACAGACCATATGGTCAGAGCAAGCCAGTAAATCACTGATGGATAGATATTGACAGCTCACTTCATATGATACTTTTTTCAGAATCTAATAATGCTGAATGTATTCTATGAACTTATCTTGACTGAAAACTACCATCAACTTATGTTGTATTGCAGGGTTTACTTAATTTCACATTCGAATACGATACTTTTCCTGTAATTCAACCTTTAATAATACTTTTAACCTCTTGCATCAAGAGTGCTTCAATGTAATTAGACCAAACCACTACCAGTATCTGGCATGTTCGCATGTAAGTTCTATGTAGCGTGACTAACCTCAGTGATTATTATTCTGCTCCAATAATATATGACTTGAGTAGTTATATTTAATCTCTTCATAAAGCGGCATATTAAGCTTACATGGCAGCATACCTGATACTGGCAGTGGAGAAGAAATTTCTTTTGAAATACCCCCAAGTAAAGTGATATATTATTGGTGAGTATCTATCATCATCCTATCTAACCTTCAGTGTGGATCGAATTTCATGAATAGAGTTTTGCAAGGTGCCCACTAAGTTAATTGATTGAATAATGAAGCGTACTGTATTCAGTGTTAGATGGTTCGAGGTTATACTAAGAAGATCCATTTATCTGTAGAGAGAATTAGTAGTGAGGTTATCCTACCTAGTCATCACTGCTGACTGAATTCGAATATGACCAGATAAATAGAGTATCTAGAGGCTATAACTACTCTACTGACCTCATCACTTTATCTTGTTGGCTATTAAATTCATCTACCATTAAAAGTAACAACTTTTCAGTAGAATAAATAATTTTATAAACTTGTATTAACTAGTACATACAAACAGTAAGTCAATGTATCAGGGATATAATTATATTGATGACTTTTGAGTAGATATCTAAAAACTGGTCAGTGCTTGCTTGTTTCATATAACTATTTAATTAAACAGCTGTGAATAAACATGAGCTTAATGTAAAGATTAGTGTATACTATTGAAATTAACACAAGTTCATAGGACTGTTAGTCATATACACCTCCGTCTAAACCACTGATATGTACTTTGATTCTAGCCAAGGTAATTATGATGATAAATCGACTGAAATATAATCCAAAATATATAAAACTAAACTATGAAAGTGAGATAATATAGGTATGAATCAATAATATGAATAAGGAAGTTTATAACCTTAATAAAACAATTGTTAATTCATTGTTTAAACTAACAGCCTACCACCTACTTGAGTAGGTAGAGTATTATAATGATAGTTGAACTTTGGCACGGATAGATAAAATAAACTTGAACTTGTACTCATAAACTATTCTACCTCTATTGGTATATGGGCTCTTATGCAGATGTCTCAGTATTGCCTGAACATTTATTATGACAATTTATATAGTTATGGCTAGCAAAAGAATTCACTGGTAATGTAGTGGGAGTCGCTGATAACAATGAATATAAGTAGTATATATTAAGAGGGTGATAGGAATCATAGGGAATTACAAGCAATAGGTAAGGATTCTGCCAAAAGCAATACAAAGGATAAGGCAGGCGTCTTACAGCGGACGCTACTGATAAGAATGTATGAAAAGCAAATCAAGAGAGAAACAGAAGAGGAAATGAAGCATATTTTGCAAATGACAGACTTAGTGCAAGGTGTGCCATATGTAATGACAACCGTCCCAATTGTTGTATGATTCTTCTGTCTCTTAGGTAATAAGGGAGGTAATTCAGTCTTGTTGTACTGATTAGATTATGAATGATGTGGTCGGAGATGAGTTTCGTTTCAGTAGGTATGCATCATTTAACCGATTTCAACCCATCTCCCAGTTTTACTTTTACTTTTTGTGACATGAAAACTGATTTCGATTCATCAAACATGACTATCCATTAGAATTATCTGTTACAAAGTAGTTACTCTAAGAAATACGGTAACATTCTTATATCTTTTACGCAAATACATCATATAGAGAGATGACATAAAATTACTTCTCTATATTGTTTGGAACAATCAACCATCTTTAACAATAATAATCAACTAAATGTTGTCTTCAAACTTGTCTGTAAGAAGTAAATGATAGTGTATTTGACAGCATGTCAAGAGAAAGTATTTTTAACCCCGAATATACACAGGAAAGGTATTTCTGTGCGCTTTTTACCCGATTATTTCACTTAATAAAAGGCAAGTTACACAACTCAGGCTGAATGACTTGGTAAGCTGTAAAATATAGTTATGAACGAAACTTAGTGGTGATAACACTATAGTTTTCTTTGTTTTTCT